TAGTTTAGTTTCTGGATTAGAATCATGTTCACTGTCATCATACAAAGAAGCAATACTTGGATATATTGCTGGGTTTGTTGTAAAAAAGATAATCAATAGAATCACCTGTACTGAATGTGCAAGAGCTCTTTTGCTTAAGTCAAAAAAATCATCATCAGTTCATGATCATAAGTATTCACACTTCCAAACTACTACATCTTTATCTTTAATCAGTTTGAAGAATCGTGGTGGTCTTGTTCTCCCTTCTAATGGTGTGACCAAAATAATATTTGCATCTGAAAGAGCTTTTCAAGTCCTCATTCATGAAACTCGTTCAAAAAAACAAAAAATTTCCAGCAGGAGAGAAACTTGAAGACTATAATGGTTCATCTTATTAACCAAGAGCTTGCAGAAAAGAGCTTGTTTCCTGAACTCAACGAGCATGATGTTGATCACGAAGCAATAACTGAAGATCTACATTCATCACAGCTTGTCAAACAGATCATTGAAAAATACATTAATTTACGACTTTCGACCTATGGTAAGCAATATAATAAAGATATCCTCCACAAAAACAAAATTGGTGTTTGCCAGCAATCTATGAAGCTTGTTTTATTTCAAGGAATCTAGTCGACTTTGATGAACATCCACACCACAACCAAGTAAATGTAAATGCTAAAAAAATAATTAATAGTGGTTTATTGTAAATAGTGAAAATAAGCGCATTTTTACAACGATGCAGTCATATTGTTAATAGATCTAAAATTATGTTGTTCAGGTAAAATAATTCATATAAACCGTAAACGTTGTGTTCAAATCAAAGTTCTGGATAGCTGTTATGCGATTTTGTCGCTTTTTTTCTGTAAATATGTTTTTGGTTTACGATAAAAAGCGTAGAGAACAGCAAAGATGTAAATTAATAAATACTCACGATTAGTAGTTCATACTTATGTAACTCTCAGCCTTTAGTTTATGGTCGCAAAATACACGTTAAGACCGCTCTATCTGAAGTATTTAAAAATTTTACACATTTTAACAATATTAAAGAAATTACTCACCATTTTTAATGCAACTTCAGTAGAACAGCATCATAAAAACGCTCTCAAAGTCGATTTCTCTCAGCACATTAATGTTTTTATATGCCGCCATTGTGCTTTTGCCACCTTTGCAAATGGCGGCCGCGTAGAAATTTGCCTCACTCATTACTATACAAATTTGGCTGAGTCAGGTATCTAGTAGAATGGGTACTAGATCATTGGCGCAAAAGAGATACTTTTGCAAATATTTAACCGTATCGAAGAATTGTCGGATGCCTTGGCAAGTACTGAGGCATCTTCCAATAACTATGCTAGTGTTGAAGTTCACGACTCGGTTGAGAATGAAGTAAGAAAGACGTTTGGACAACATTCATTATCATCAGGTATGGAAGTAAATCAACCAAGTAATACAATGCTGTCGCATTGCACAAATCATGCATCCGTCACAGCTTCCTCTTCACATCTGGCAACTCCTTCCTACAATACCAGAAGATATTTCGGTCAACTATGAGATCAAATCGTCGGAGAAAATATTCTAAATCGAAAAAAGTTAGTACTGGGCCATTCTCGCGTGATCTTATGTTACTATCAGGTCCAGATGACAAGTATGTACCTCGTCAAGGAGGAAATGCTTTTCTGCAGGAAAATGGACACATCATCAGTGCGTTTGAATTTCACAAAGAGTGGACTGACATTGACGTAGAACTTGAAATACGCCAAGCTTTTCAAGGAACCCTGCCTGATGACGTGGAAATTGAGATTGTGCATTCTGTCCATACAGCAGTTCTCAAACCTACATTAGCTCAAGGTCAATATTTAAATGATTCTGTAATCAACAGAATCTTTAGCAACAACAAACCAGTTTATATTAGGCCATGTAGACAAATCCTAAATCAGCATAAATAAAGAGAAACGTAAAAGGTATAGTCTTCCAGAAAATGTGTTTGGGATGATGAATTATGGAGGCTATCAAATGATTCAAGTCTTAATGAAATCTTAACTAACAATTTTCAAGGTGGGATTTGAGAAAATATTCTTTTTTTTATTGTTTTGGAGTAAAATCTTATGAAAAATCTATAGCAGTATATATACGTGTTCTAGAGATGAAAAAAGATTAAAATATATAATTTAAAGCTTTTTATACATTGAAAGGAGCAAAATTGTGTAATGTCTATATTTCAGTATTTGTCATAAACACTTATTCATATATTGTAATTTATCAAGCAAATCAAGTTCAATTTGGAGAAACAAATCAAACTACTGTGGTCATAGATGAACCCTTCAAGCAACATAAAGCCATTAATGATAAGCAGCTTGATGATGCTGTTGCAGATATGACCAATCCTGAACCTTCTACTGAAATGCAAAACAACCAGTGTGAATTGTTTGAAACAAACTTGGAAGAACCATTTGATTAACAAGGTAACTAATGTTTCCATGCATATGAAAATAAAATGAGTCAGACATTGTTAAAGTTATTGACCCAGTTAAAGAATCAAATAATCACAACTACATTAAATAGTTTATAATAAAAACAACTAAACCACTAAAACCATGTTGTTTGAAATACAAATAGTTAAATGTATCCTTATATCTTCCTTAAGTCTTCCACAATATTCATCATTATCATCATCATCATCATCATCATCATCATCATCAGTATTTTTATTTTTATTTATATAGAGTATGCCAAAGAAACTATACAAACTAGTTGAATATTTTATAACTGTTATCTTTAATTGTATCCCAAGTACCCTAGCATTTTTCCATCAGTATCCTTATTAGTCCTTGCATTATTTGTATTATTGCTATTATTATTAGTACTACTATTAATATTATTAAACTGTGATAAATTTTATCTGCAGACATCAATCACTCACTTTTACCAAAAGTGTTATAAAAATAAATTTGTTACTTATGCCTGATAAAAATCTTTGTTTTTTTGTGATTGTAAAAAGTGCTATATTATTTGATTTGAAAGATGATGGAGACGTAAATATTGATGCAGATGGTGAATTGTACAGTGGTAATCAGCTTCATGAAAACAGTTTGGTTAAGGAAATCGCCATTAACCGCCACAATGTGTTAGCAGACATGATTATTGCGTTCAAGGACGAAAGTATTTTGGCGTGTTGCCTAGAGATTGTATTTATCGACGAAGCAGGAGATATCGAAAACGGAAGAGGTTCTGGTGTAAAACGAGAGGCGCTTAGCATATTTTGGAGAGAGTTTTATAACTCACTGGCTACTGGTGCTTCCGAAAAAGTCCCAGCTATACGTCATGACTACCAACAGAGTGAATGGAAAAGTATTGCTCGTATTCTTGTAGCAGGATTTATTAACTTTGGATATTTTCCTGTTACTTTGTCCAGTGCATTTATTGCTTCCTGTCTTTTTTCGGAGGACGCAATTCCTAAGGATTGGCTAGTAGAGTCTTTTAATCAATATATATCAAAGGACGAAAGTGAAACTTTAAAAAGAAGTATCAGTGATGAATGCCCCGACCCGTCATTGGACGAAGATGTAGCTGACGTGCTTTCAAGTTTTAAGTGCCGCAGGGTGATTAAAAAGAGCTCGATGCCAAAAATTATTGAGGAGTTAGCTCGTCAAGAAATAATACAGCGTCCAAAATACGTGGCTAATGCATGGTCACCGATCCTGAAGCAACTGAAAGGTTTTAAGCAATTTGAAACTGTTGAGAGTTTGGTGAGTTTTTATGGAGCAAAAAAGCCAAACCAGAAAAAGGTTTGCAAGCTTTTTATTTCAAGCCCAGCCTCTGATGCCGAACGGGAATGCTTCTCTCATTCAAAGCGGTTTGTTAAATCTCTTGACGACAACGTTATTAGTGTTTTTCTACAGTATGTTACTGGTAGCAACATCATTGCAGTTGATTCAATCGAGGTTGCATTTAGTGATGAATCAGGTAACGCACGTCGACCTGTTGCGCACACATGTGCTCCTCTACTGATAATACCATCAACTTACCAGTCATACAACGAACTGTCCGAGGAATTCAATAACATTTTTCGACGAGAAGCTGCATGGTCATTTTACATAGTTTAATAGATAATGGATAAAGACGAACAATTAAACAACAATGTTGTGGTTGAAGTTATACTATACTGTATACGTACGTATACAACTGTTCTGTTATAGTGTTCTTTTATCAAGAGTTTTACTTCACAATATCCCATTATATGATACATTTATGTAGTAAGAAATTGTTTTGTAGATAAATTATAGTGTATATTGTGTTTCTCTTCACCAAATGCAAGAACGGCACACCTCATAAAAAAATCCTTTGACTTCTAATATGTGACAATGAAAGCAGTTACGACGATTGTTGATAAAATGGTATATTTTTAAGGCTCAATTCATTCTAATAATCTTTCATTAAATAGTTTCTATTGTTACTGAAAAATATTTTGCAAATATTGACGAACTGTGAGGTAGTGGTGAATTCCGTGATTGCCGTCATCACTTAAAGGTTGCGGAACAAGGCGGCGTATTTCATTGACATGATCTTCGGTCAACTCAACTGAATTTTCAGGGACAACAACCATATTGTCCGTTTCGATATCACCTACCGCGCCATCAGGATCAATGCCATATAAATTTACATTATCAATATTAATGTCTGTTAAATCAGTTTCATTAAGCTCAGAACGCCATAGTGCTAGGGGCGACATACTCCGCATAGTTCGAAGTCCATGATGATTCCATTGGTTGACAAACTCATTGAGTGAGGCTTGTATTGCAGGAATGTAAACATGGTGCAGAGCATACAAATCAATTTCATCGTGCGCATCAAGAAGCTCGGTTTCCTCCATAAATTGGAATAGATCTTTATAATAGGAGGAACTCACTCTATAGGCCTTTTCAAATAAGAGTTGGGGACTAGGGCAAGTTTTAGCCCGCAAGCACGTCTGGGATTGTTAGTGGGGACAGGTTGTTATATTATTATAGTTGGAAAAAAAAGTGAAGATGGAAAGCGCGTTTGAGTGTAAAGATAAAAGTTTTTCGCTAAATGAAAGTGATATTCCCGGAGCTAAGCTACCTAAGCCGATTGAGGAATGCAATTGTGCAATTTTACGACGATGGCTTCTTTGCAGAGGAGCAAAAACCTCTGGTAAACTCTCTGATTTACGACTGAGGTCAGTAATTTACTTTTAATTTTAAGTTTTTATTTTTATATAATCTAACATTCATTTGATTTATTTCGTCCTTTTTATGAAGGAATTAAAAATCGTTTAACGAATAACTATATATTTTTTATTGCAGAGTCAAAAATTATATCGAACATAAACTGGCGGAAAAGTATCTATGTGACCCTGATGGAGGCGTTCATGTTTTGAAAAAGAAAGCACAAGCTGGTCTCCTACATCAGACATTGCCATCAGAAGTTAAAAGTTTTCCTACCACAGGATATAGTGCCGACCTAACAAATCTACCAAAAGTTACTTTTGGCACTGTATGGAAGTTTATGATAGACAGCATGGAATTCAAAAGACGACTTTCAACTGCTAAGCCTCTAGTGAAAGGCTATAATTTCTTTAAGTCAAACCATGTGCTGTGTTTGTATTATCTCCACAAGGATTCAAAACATTACATCAAAAGTCAGGTCTTGCCTTCAATGAAGAAAAAGATGGTATATACTTGTTACATTAAGCTTTCATCATTTGGCTTTGTTTTGTCAGCCAAATGTGGGTGCCCAGCAGGTGTGGATGGGAGATGTAATCACGTCTGTGCAACTCTTTTTTTCCTTGACTCTATTTGTAAGAAAAATAAGAAGTCATCTTCAGAAATTTCATGCATGTCAAAGCCATGTGAATGGAGTGTACCAAGAAAGAGAAAAGAAGAAGTGCAGCCAATTTCTGCAATGAAGTTCCAGAAATATGACTACAACAAAGAGAACAAAAAAGCAGAAGATAAATGCAAATACCAGGATGTCAGCTCCATTAACCAGGAAGGTTTAAATAGTAAAAACTTACAAAGCATTTTTAACAAATTTAAAGAACTAGAAAATGAGGTTAGGAAGTCCATTGGATGTTGTCACATTTTACCCCAGGATATCCCAGTTGAGAAGTATGAGAATGAACTCATATCTCCCATAAAAGTTCAAGACAACCCTATGGCAATGAGTGCCATTAAAGAGAGGATGGAAAAGATTAAGAAATGCCTTTTCATAGACTACAGAAAGGCCTCAGAAATTGAAAAAGAAACTAGAGAGCAATCCTTTAATAAGAAATGGCACCTACATCGACAATACCGCATTACAGCATCTAAATTCTATAGAGCTGCTGTACTTAAACAAACAACCTCACCAACAAAGGCCATTAATGAAATTTTGTATGCCAAATTTTCAGCAACGAAGCAAATGATAAAAGGACTAGAAATGGAACCAGAAATAATGAAGCAATACATAAAGGAGCAACACAAACGTGGACATGACAATTTGTCTGTGTCACAGTCAGTTCTGATTGTTGGCAAGCATGATGATGGTTTCTTAGGGGCTAGTCCTGATGGCTTGGTTTGTGATCCCTCGAACAATAATGAACCTTTAGGTATCCTAGAAATGAAGTTCATAGAAACATCTGAAAAGGAAAGTTTAACAGAAGCTGTCTTACGTAAGCATGTGTGTCAAGCACAAACTTGACAACAGTGGTATTACAATTAACAGAAACCACAAATATTTTTACCAAATACAGCAGGGAATGTATTTATCAGGGAGGAAGTGGGCAGACTTTGTGATTGCTGGATCTTGTTCACCTGGTATATATATTGAAAGAGTACCTTTTGACTCTAATTTCTGGTGCAATACTAAGGCAAAACTTAAGATTTTCTATGAAGAATTTATTATTCCTGAACTAGCATATCCAAAGATCAAGTATGGGCTGCCAAGAAACAATTTCACAGGAGATAATTAAATGGTGTAACTTGTAAAGATTTTTAAAACATAAATTACTAAGGATAAATAACAGTTGAAAATTTAATATCTGTCAAAATATAATTAAAAAAAGGGCTTTTTTGCTGTAAATCTGTTTTTAATCACGATACTGAATTTCTAAATTATCATTATTGAAATGGCTTGTTTTATTTATTTATCAATTTTAAACATGAGAATGAAGGCAAAATCTAACAAACAAGTGGTGGCAAAAAATTAGCCAATGCTGCTATGACCACAAGTGCATCTGATGCTAATGGGGCCATAGTGATAGGGATCTTTCTATCTAATATGTGCCAGTTTTTTAGTCTTTCCATTTGTCGTTCAACATGTATGCGCAGGCTAGGTATAGCTTTGTTCTTGTTAATTTCTTCTTGTGTAAATTGGGTTTTCTTTTGGAGAAAAGAAGGAGCTTCAAGAAATGCACCAACTGACGCAAGTTCATCTTTTATGTTAAAGCCTCTGTCTGCCATGACACTATCTCCAGGGGAGAGAATGTCCAAGAAATTGCTTTTTTTAACTATTTCCAAATCAGAAGTGCTTCCAGGGAATAACTCACTGATGTACGACAACACACCACTAGGTGTGATTCCAATTAAAACCTTCATTGTTGGTCTGCTTTTGTAAGAAGAATAACAGGCAGACTGATTGTTCAAAGCTGATGGCCTTTCCATCTCAATCTCTGTGCAATCAATTACAATAACTACCTGGGGGAAGAGCTGTTTGAATGCAGGGGGGCTGTAATATTTGATTGTATCTCTTTCTGGCATTCTGATTAATGACCCAAGTTTTGCACGGAGCAGTTTTATCCACTTGCGAATGATGTTCGAGACTGTACCAACTGCCACGCCAAATCGGTGAGCCAAGTCCTTTTCAAAAAGGCCCAATCTTAATCTCATTAAAACCAAAATATATTCTTCATAACAACTTAGTGCTCTTGGCCTACCAAGCTTTGGTCTTCTAATCTGTGTGTCATCTGTATTATCACCATTAATATCAATTCTTGACTCCTCAACTAAATTGAAACAAAATGTCAGCATTTTGTAGTTAGATAAACCAGTATAGAACTCTATATCAGAATCACTTGATTTGTATTTGTCAATATCAAATCTACTTTGTCGTTGTTGTTGTCTTGCCAGGTTGCTTTTGGTGATTTCAAGTAATTTTGTTAAACGCAGCAGTTCACTTTCGAGAAATATTTGTTCTTCTATAATTTGCTTTTTAACGTCTTGAAGTAGCAGGACATGGTCCTTAGCTTTGCAGAAACATGCCAAGTCTGTCTGAGTAGCAGAAGATTGAAGATGAGATGCTTGGTCGTTTTGTAGTTGTTCGCTTTCAATATCAACTTCATAATTTTGCATAAAGTTCTTTCTCTTGCGTTTGTGTTTACTAATTTTTTCCTGACTGGCTCTGGTTATCTCTCTGCGTTGTTCTTTATGTACAGTCCACGGAAAAACAGACGGAAGATGAGTTCTGCTCAATTTTTTCCCGCCTTCCCAGTGATCACAACAAATCCTTGTGTTCGGAGACGCCACTTTGAGGTTATCGTTTCTTATTAGAACATCGTATTTTTTACGCAGTTCTAAATCCTTTGGCAAGCAATAAAATTTGAAATCGCGAGGCTTATTTCTGTGGCTGTCGCTACAACCTGGCACACAGCAGTTATACTTTGGCATTCTTGCTAAATCACATAAACACTTCATCAACATATGTATAAACACTGCACTTCTATTCGCGAGGTAATTTTGTGTCCCCGGTAACGATCCCAGAAACGCTTGCAGGCAAAAATCGCCTTAGTCCCCGCCTCATTTTTGAAAAGGCTTATTCACCTCCGCCCAAAGGCGCTCAATTCTTTGGTTATGCACGCTGCGTCCGGCTATGAAGCTTCCTCTGTTTAGACCTCTATTAGCTATCATAAACCGTGCAACGTGTACATTTTCCACCCCCCCCCTATTGCCACGTACGCGAGATGGAATCCCAAATCTTTGTGCACCATTGACAAAACATTGCAAAACAGTATGCGCAAGATTGTTCGTGAAGCATTTCAAATAAATAATAGTTCTGCTATAGCCGTCGATGCAACCATGCGTTTGTGATTGGAGTCAATGTGCCAGAGATGATTTGGTTTCCTCACATTGTACACCCGCCTTTGTATAGCGTATCTCCGTCTTATGGCACGGTTAATAGGGTCAATAGTTTCTAATGCTTCCTAACTCTCCACCTTTGGATATGAATACCCCGACCACGCAAAGCTCCTCTTACGTAAGTTTCGCCAGAGAAGGCTGTCAATCTTAAAATATCTCTAATGTATCTTTCAAGCTCTTGTTTTGTTATGTCACAGTAAGTGTTTGCTATACCATAGTGTATTCTTCTGTAAAGAGTTTTGGCACTCACTCCCAAGCAACTGGCAATGGCTTTCCAATTCATACCCGTACTGCGTAATTCTTCAATTTGGTCTGCTGTAACAATGTATCTACGTCTGCCTCCAGAGCTTGCTTCTTGCGGGACTGGAATTCTACAAATTATCGCAACTTGCTCATTACATAAAGTAATCTGTGTTAGCAGAAATTGAAGTTTTTCTCTTAATATATTGAGTAAGTTTGCTATCAGCGGCGATATGGGATGTTGTTGATTTCTAAGGACTAAAGAGATGGCCATTATTATTCGAATATGTCCTTCAAGGCGATCACATAAATGTTCTAAAAAGTTGAAGTTACCAAGAATATCGTTCCTATCTATACGTTCTATACAGTGTTGTATCGGGAATAACAAATTTTCTAAATCTTCGTCAACAGCTCTTGAGACGTTTGACATTTCTAATAAAACCACAGCAATGAAATGAAAAAGCTTCGCTATCTTTCTCTTAGTTTATAATCAGACTTAGTTTTTGATTTTTAATTGCCAAAAAATTCTCGACTCCAATAAAATTCTCGACTGTAAAAAAAATTCTCGACTGTAAAAAAAAATTCTCGACTGTAAAAAAAAACTCGACTCCAAAAAAATTCTTCACTACTTTTGTCCACTATGGCTTTCCATACATGCAGTTCTCGTGGGGAGGTTATTTTCCATGAGAACTCAGATTTAATGCAAACAACGCACCATGCTAGTTCTTTGTCAAAAAGAAAAATTACACAAAGTAAAAAAGACAAATCGACACAAATTGGAAAGCCGTGCAGATGCTACAATCATCGAAAACAATTTAAAAGTGTCGCTGCTCAAACATTCATAACGGCAGAGAGACTAAAGGCAGACCTTTTTACAAAAAGTGCAAAAATGACATCCACTAGTTCACAGACAGATGAAACAAAAGCCACTCTGGGTTGTGTACAGTCACCTTTTGGCACATCTGATATTGGTCTTGACGATAACAGATTTTCCAAAACTGTGGACAAAAATGATAGAAATGAATATGATCAGGAGCAAGATACAGATAGTGAAGAATTCGTACTTGGAGATACAAATAGTGAAGACTCAGAGTTCGAAGACAATATTAACAGCAATGTAGAATCTAAATGCACGAGTAAGATTTTGTCACGCAACAAGCTTCTGCAAGATCAAAGGAAATTTATTGTGTTTGACGATTCCGTGGTTGAATGTTTCAATTGCTGCTCTAAATGTGGTAGTAAATGCCTTGTTAGCGTAGCAAACACCATTGGAACCTTTTCCAGAATATCCGTTCAATGCTTACTAGACAAAACCCATAGCTTTACATGGTGCACAGGCCCCTTGTGTAATAGACTACCGGTATTTCACCTGATGCTGGCCTCAGGCATCTTGGCCACAGGGCTAGAATGTGGCTAGGTTCTTCGACTTCTCAGTGCATTGAAAATAAAATGTTTCACACGTCGTGAATTTTCAAGATTGCAATCGGTGTATGTTATACCTGCCGTGTTCAATGTTTGGGGTTGTGAGAAAAGAGATTGTTACAAAAACTAAAAGAACAAACTTGCTGTATTGCGTCAGATATGCGAGTAGATGGCCCAGGTCACAGCGGGTTGTTTGTTTCCGGGAGTTCTTTGGACGTCGATAACAATGTCATACTTGATACACAGATCATAAAGGTTATGAGAGCCTAATAACATATTATAATGATTGCCTGAAAATATTCTGTTGATGTAATATAGTCTTCTTTCGTATGATATTTCTCTATACTTTATCAATACTCAGAGCACTGAAGTCAAGAATTCCAACGCCATGGAGCTAGAATCCATCAAGCGTCAACTTGCATACCTTTAAAATGGTGACGTTGAAATTATCAAGCTTGTGACTGACAGACACATCCAGGTTACATCTTACATGGCTAAGGAGAAGCCAGAAATAGAACATGTTTATGATGTTTGGCATGTGGCCAAAGGTGCAGCTAATTCTCTATTTGCAAGTATTAATCACTCAAATATAAGTGCATCAGTTGTGAATCAAATCACTGGAATTGTGAATCATGTGATAAAGTAAGATGTATTTAAATTGAACCTTTTAGGAGAGAAAGAGGTTACTTAAACTTGTAAAAAAAGAAGAAATTTTGTGCAATTAAGCCTTGGATTGGGGTAACTACATTTAAAAAATATATATCATGCCATTCCAGAGGAGTATGAGTGACACTTGTAGCTATATCTTAAACTTTATCTAACAGTCCATCATAAATCATTTGTATTGGGTGGCAAGCTCCAGCAGCACTGAAATTGAAAAAGAAGAAAATTGGAAAAGTTTGGCAAATCACATTGCTGATATTCATACTCACGAAGACAACAAGGTGCTTACCAAATGCTTGCATGAAGCTACTGAACGGCAATAGTTAAAAAAAGGTTAAGGGTAGTATCTAGCTCCGATTCGTTCATGGAGACTTCATTACTATTAACAAAAAAATAAGTGCACAGTGCACCTGTTCTTTAACAAGTCTCAAAGCATTTGCATGTATATTATAATCTTGCTTCTTATCAATGTATTCATAAGACTGACCTCTTTATACTTTTGAAGGTGGTGCAGCTCATAAGAAACTAACTGAACTTATTTCAAGACCAAGATTGATAAATGCAGTTAGAAAGTTGTCAAGTCACCAACAAACATCAGGCTTGGAGGCAAAGCATTCACTTGATAATCTTTTTGCATCAAAAAATACATACTATCCATATCACTCACTCATGGCCAGTTGAAATCATGCATTTTTTCTCACATATTTTACTTTAAAAAAGGGTTGCATTGACCAATAAAGAGTAATGTGTTATTCCAGCCTATACAGTTACCCATTGTGAATTTTTCAGGTTATTTTGTGCCAATTTATATTACAATGAAAATGCTAATAGACCCCAAGCAACAACACAAAAAGGTGAAAAAAGATGGTCAGTTGCATACCCTAAAGCTCACAAAGGAGAAAAAGATGTAGTTAAACCAATAAGCGACTGTCCTAACTACAGTAAGAGTTAATAGACAAATCAGAATCATTAATGACAAAATGTTAATGCGAAATACATTTAACATTTTCAGATTATGTGCAAGATGTTCAGACTGAGTGTGAGACTTCGCAAAGATTTCAACACCACAAAAATAGCATTGGAGAATGCAAAAACACTGCTTCCAAAGGAACCTCCCTCACTTGTGGAAACATACTTGTGTGGGAAGCAAAGGCAGCCAAAAAATGAAGTCATGACTCGCAGACACAGTAGATTCACAACGCCTGCTTTGCCCAACGATAAAATTAATGACATAGTATGTCTTTGCAAGGGAAAATGTGCTACAAGCACATTGATGTTATTGTAGGAATAAAAATCGTCCATGTACGGAAAGTTGTGGTTGCCAAACCATAAAATGCAACAATAGATGATGAAAATTTAAAAGCCTTGAAATCTCAAATACCTCAAATCCAATTTCAATTTACTTGGCATATTTGAAATGAGTGTAAAGTGCATCAGATGACCAATACTTCCCTCGTATGCATTTGTACATGCAAGATGGAAATGGCCTTCGACATTTCTTGCCAAGAATATGAAAAATCCATCTCAAACATCTTCGATACGCAACATGACGGTATATTTTGTGTATGACTGCAAATTTGTCATCACCTAATGGACTGTTTTCTTCAATATACTGCCAAGTATCTATTTCAAGGACGTTTGCCGATATGTTTTGATTGAAGGAAGCAAGTTCAGTCACGCAAGACAAGCCTGCATCCTGTGCCCATTTAAGTTTACCATCATATTCGTCATATTCAACCGCTTTTTCATGACAGCAAAAGCATTCAATCGTTTTTGCCATCAACTCACAATGGCCGCATTTACACCAACTGAGTGAAGTTTTACGCCAACTATACATAGCTTCAACTCCTCGTCTATCTGATCATCTACTTCGCTCGACGAAGAACTTTCTGAGTCAGAATTCTCACTCTCTACAAATTCATCTGGCATTGGCTCAAACATATATGGCTGAACCATAGCATCTTTGTTAATATTTTCCATTTTCAGGGCTGTAACAGCAGTGAAAAGTCCCAAACTTTGCGTAATAAATGAGAATGATTGTCAATTTGCAATATAAACAATATTCATTAGGAAAAGTCTCCCTGTTGTGACGTCACATATGAAATCTAATTAATTTGGCTGCTCATTTCAAGATGGCGGAACAGCCCTTGAAATAAGCAAACTTTCATTGTAAATTGCGCTTTAAATATATATTTTCAAACCGGAAA